ATGGATGGATGGATGGATGGATGGATGGATGGATGGATGGATGGATGAATGAATGAATTGAAATGAATGGTGTTATACTTTCATAATGCATATAGGAAAGATGATAGGCACAGTGGAGGAGCCTATAGAAAGAAAATGCCTTAGAGTTCAGAGACACCTATTAAAATAGAAAGATAATTTATCTCTGTCCCTCACTGTCATGATATACCGTATTTGCCGGCGTATAAGATGACTTTTTTGCCCTGAAAAACATGCCTCCAAGTGGGGGGGTCGTCTTATGCGCCGGGAGGACTCCGACTCCCACTTCGAGCTTGAGTTGCAGCCGGGAGGGAGGCTGTGGGGGGAGCGGTGTGTGTGTGTGTGTGTGTGTGTGTGTGTGTGTGTGTGGCGGGTGTCACTCGCCACACGCTGCGCAACCTTTCCCCCTCTTCCTTCCTTAGTGGTGTGGGGAGGAGAGGATTCGAAGATCCTCACGTGCGGCGTACTTTTCTTTTTCTTTTTTTCTTTTTGCACGCAGGTTTTGCATGCGGGCGGCTGTAGGTTAAGGATGGGGGAGCCCCCGGGTGGGTTATCAGGTTTTACGGTGCTTCCAACATGTGCGAACGGTGGGAGAGCGGAGAAGAGAGCGAGCGAGCGCCCCGCTGTGTGAAATCCTGCCGTCAAAGCAACAGTGGGGGAGGCAGGGTATAAATTTACCAGGTTAATGTAGCAATGGTGATTAATGCCCAGAACATTGTTTGCGGGTATTGGGGTGTGTGTGTGTGTGTGGTGGTGGTGAGGAGAGGTTGTCCTTTGAATGCGGAAAAGTAGGTGTGACGTGTAGGAAAATAAAGAGATCCTTTTTAGCGTGTTTGGCTTCTTTGCCTCCCCTCGTTCGTTTTGATGTGGAGATAATGGCCTTCGGGCGGGAGGGGAAGAAAACTGTAGCTGGATCATTTCAAATTTCACTTACTCTCCTGCCTCACTTCAATATGTCTGAGCGACTCCAGATACTGGAAGACTTTTTGAATAAAAGTGTTACCTCCATATATTTTTTTAAAGAGGGCCACTTGGGGAAAAAAAAAAGATTCTAAGGAATTCCTTGTTTCTTGATTAAAGAGAAGGCATTGAATATACTGTTCCTTGGCAGCCTTTTCAGTGTCCGGGTTTTTGGTGTGTGTGTGTGTGTGTGTGTGTGTGTGTGTGAGAGAGAGAGAGAGAGAGAGAGAGAGAGAGAGAGAGAGATCAGCTGTATTGAGAAGAGAATGTTTCCTGTGTTCTCATTTTATTTACAACATATTTTACGCTTAATGGTAAGCAATGAAAAATATTTTTAAAACTCATTTCTAAACTCCATAGCTATTGGCATATTCTTGGTTCAAAATTGGATTAGCTCATTTCAAAATTGTCCAAAGCAGAAAAGTGCGTCAAAAAAAAAAAAAAGTGCAAAAGTGGAAGGTGTGTGGAAGAGGGGTAGTCTTATACGGCGAGTATATAACAAACTCTATATTTTGAGTGGAAATGTTGGGGGGTCGTCTTATACGCCCAGTCGTCTTATACGCCGGCAAATACGGTATGTATAACTGAACTTCAAAAAAATGACATTTCTTTTTTTTTAATCAAATTACTAAAAATATTTATCAACATCTCTAGATTATCTATAATGCAACCATTCTCAATCTCTAGAAATATTAGGCCACAGCATTGTAATTCTTAACCATTTTGGCTCAAGATTAACTGATCCAGAAGGTGCCAATATAGCTATCTTGTGCTTCTTTAGAAAAAAAAATCATGGTTTGTTTGAGAAAAACAATGTACAGGCACAAACACATACATAAATGGGTTTTCTCTTGTTGTGTTCATATGACTGGTAAACCCAAACTGATTGAGCTTAAATAGACAAGCCTATTCAAAATTAAACTTTGAAATCACATACATTCAACACATTGTGCTAAATCAGGGGTGTCAAACTCATGGCCCATGGGCTAGATGCATCATGCACTGGCCACGCCAGATTTAGCAAAGGGGAAAAAATTCCCATCATGTGATGCCACCATGACGTTGTGAGTTTGACACCCATAAACTAAAGATTAATTTTCATTTACATGCAAAGGATCCAGTAAGCAAGGCAATTAAGTAAAATGAGTGAGATGACAATTATTATATCAGTTAGTTAGTCAATTCATATAATTGCCTCTCAAAATACCATTTAGAAAAAAAATATTTAAAAGATAGAAAAAAAATTAAAAAGAAACTCAGTTTGGACTAATGTGTTTCACAACCATGGCAACTGTAAGATACTTGGACTTCAACTCCCAGAGTTGAACTGAACTCTGGGAATTGAAGTCCTTCCCTCTTAAATTTGCCAAGATTCAGAAACCTTTGTCGGGGTGTCAAACTGGTAGCCTGCAGGCCAGATGCATCACATGTAAGCCACGCCCACCCCAACTTCGCGAAGGGAAAAATGTCACAATATGCCACGTGATGGCAACATAATGCCACGAGTTTGATACCCAGGGTCTAACGGTTATGGCACAGAGTTAAAATCAAGAGACTGAGTTCTAGTTCCACTTTAGGCATGACTTTGGATAATCACATTCTCAGTCCAACTTACCTCACAAAGTTGTTGTTTTAGGGAAAACAGGAGAAGGAAAAAGTATTAGATATGTTCACCTCTCAGAGTTATTTATAAAAATAATAAATAGGATAACATAATATACATAGTTCTAATTCAATGGCACCTTGACTTTTAAATGTTGGTTGGTTTTAAAAGTCAGGATCCATTGAATTAGAACTATAATAACCAGAGGTGAGTATCCCTGATATTTATTTATAGGAGGCTGCCTGAGAATCTTATTTGATTTTTGTCTCTATTAAATCTATATAGATTATACTACCAATTTTCACCTTTTGTTACTCCTGGCCTGAAACTTTGCCATACATATTTTGGTAATTGTACTAGAGAGGGTTCTGATACAAAAAAGAATCCATATGTAGCCCTAGATTTGCAGGTTGTTCATCTCTGCTGTTAAAAAAAAAACATCCATACCAAATTAAGCTAAAATCAAGCAAATATGACTGCAATGTGTGAAACCAGTAGTTGACTAGGTTCACATATTGTGCGAAACCATGGATTTTTAAGCATGGCTTCTTGACTAAACTGTAAGCAGTGGTTCACAAACCACAATGGTACAATGACACCCTAAGCTGAAACCAGATAAACTGCATTTTGGCTTACTAGTATATATGATTAGGATCACAATATATCATTAGGAGCAAGGTCTGAAGTAACATTTTGCGAAATGAAAATGATATATTTTCATAATTTAAATTCCAACTTACTAACAACACAAAAATATTTACCTTTATGTTTTATAATCATCTTAAACATGATCACATGCACTGATTTAGACTCTCATAATAAAATCAAACCATTCAACAGATACACGTTGAGCACTGCTGTAAATTACCCAATGAATAGCATTTCTTTTCTTTTTCTTTTTTGCAAATTCATAATAATGGGGGGATTGTCTTTCACCCCACTCCTTCCCTCTACCCCCATTCCAGTCAGATAAATTTCAGCTCAGATGGCAGTTTTAGCAGCCACGTCTGCTCGCCACGGCCGATCCAGGTAGCTGAGTACTTGGCGGATGGGGCCACGCTTGGTAGGCTCCAGGGCTAAAAGATTTTGTAACATAGCAATGCAATCTTGAGACAGAGGACGCCAGTGAAATGGCAGGTCTTCATCTGAACCTGATTCTTGCCATATCACAAAGTCGTCAAAAAAGGAATCCTCGGGTAGAGTCTTTTCCCAAGGAAAGTAGCCAGTGAGCAAGCAGAAGATCAGCACCCCAAGAGCCCAGGCATCAAGGCTGGCATCAATGGCTAGGCCTGGAGTGCCAGCAGTGCCACGGCTTAGTTCAGGTGCAGTGTAAGGGATGACCCCAGTCACAAGCTGCAGCAGAGTGCCCTGGGGTCGGGTCAATCCAAAATCTGTCAGTTTGATGCAGTGACAGTGACGGTCAAAAAGCAGGATATTCTCTGGTTTAACATCTCGATACACCAGGCCCCGGCTGTGTATAAAGTCCAATGCACTCACCAGTTGCTTGGCACAGAGCTTGGCTGCCTTCTCAGGAATGCCTGCCTAGATGGGTTAAAGAAGAACATTTTTTTACTCCATTAGTTCTTCTCAATGGTCTATAACAGTGTTTCTCAACCTTGGCAACTGTAAGGTGTGTGGACCTCAACTTCCAGAATTCCCCAGCTAGTCAGAATTTTGGGAGTTGAAGTCCACACACGTTAAAGTTCCATGGCTGTGAAACACTGGTCTATAACATTTAAAACTCACACCTTTTTTCTATTCTTCAACCCATCTCAATCACAATTAAAATTGGACTTACTCTTAATTTTTTTCAGCATCACATGATTCTACTGAAAAAAGTTTTCAAAATTCTTTTGAAAGTGGAATTATGATCATCTTTTATGGTCAAAGTTCAAAATTACAAGTTTTGAAAATTCAAAATACCTCATCTCGTACTTTGTATTTGACCCATAGTTTATAACATATTCTGTGTTGATTAGTTGACTTGTTTCTAGTTGATTTTGAAAAATTCAACTTTATATACTAATTAACTTTATATACTTACTAATTAATAAGTTAGTAAATAATTTATTAAATAAGTCTCCTGATTATTTTAAATTGGCTATGATCACAGCAATACATACATACCTTAAAATGAGACAGAACAGAACAGAATAACAGAATTGGAAGGGTCCTTGGAGGTCTTCTAGTCCAACCACCTGCTCAAGTAGGAAGCCCTATACCACTGCCCTATACCACTTCAGACAAATGATTATCCAATCTCTTCTTAAAACCTTCCAGGAGCATTCACAACTTCTGGAGGAAAGTTGTTTCACTGACTAATTGTTCTGTCATGAAATTTCTTTTTAGTTCTAGGTTGCTTCACTCCTTGATTAGTTTCCATCTTGTCCTGCCTTTAGATGCTTTAGAGAATAGGTTGACACACACACACCCCACCTTTTTCATAGCAACACGTTAGATATTGGAACACTGCTATCATATTACCCTTAGTCTGTCTTTCCATTAAACTAGACATACCCAATTCCAGAAATTTATGTTTTAGCCTCCAGTCCCCTAATCTTTTTTTCTTTTCTTTTTTTTCTTTTTCTTTTTTTTTTGCTCTTCTCTGCACTGTTTCTAGAGTCTCAGCATCTTTTTTACACTGTGGCCACCAAAACTGGATGCAGTATTCCAAATGTGGTTTTACCAAGGCACTATAAAGTGGTATTAACACTTCACAAAATCTTGATTCCCTCCCTCTGTTAATGTAGCCTAGGACAATGCTGGCTTTTTTGGCAGCTGCAGCACACAGCTGGCTCATAGTTAAGTAATTGTCCACTAGGACTCCAAGATCCCTCTAACAGTTACTACTTGTAACTGTTGAGCCAAGAACCACCTCTATGCATTTGGTTTTTCTTGCCTAAATATAGAACCTTACTTTTTTCACCACTGAATTTCATTTTCTAAAATAGTGCCCAATGTTCAAGTCATTATTATTATTAAAATCTAAAACTAACAAATTGCAGATGTTAAAATATACAGTAAGTCTAAAATCTATTAATAATATTAATTTTTTTAAACCTTGAAATGTAAAAATATGCCTTACCTTGGGCTTGATAATGGAGATAAGGTCTCGATGGAGGGCTGCTTCATAGAGAAAACCGTAATGCTGGCTGGATTCTATAGCAATGCCAAACATACCAATGATGGCAGGATGTGGAGAAAGTGAGAGTGCCACACAGTATTCATATAAGAAATTCTGGAGCTTGGTGCTAGATTTAGGTAGTAGCTTGAGAGCCATCGGGGTCCCTGAGAGAAGTTGGGAGGGGATATGGATAAGATCAAGATCCTCATTTTCCAATAATCAGAAGCTTTTTCCTGTCTTTTGATGTGCAATTTCAAACAACTATTCCAGCAGTGTTTTCTGTATGCAAAGTCACCAAAATTTGGGGTCATTGTGACAGGTTGCCCTCAACTTATAACTATAATTGAACCTGGAATTATAGTTCACAAATCATTATGATCATAAGTCAAGCCATCACATGACCAGTTTGAAGTTATGACCATTAAGTGGAAACATGGTTGTTAAGTGAATTCATATTCCCTAAGGGGTGTTTTTGCCAGAAGTCAGAAATAAATGCCAAAAACTGGCAGAAACACATTACAAATTGGAGTCACGTGATCACGAGACACTGCAAACGATCGTAAAGGTAAGTGTGTTGCCAAGCACCCAAAATGTGATCTCCCAGTCATTGGGGTTTCTGTGGGTGTCATAACTCTGAAAACAGGTTGGAAGTATGTATAGGGAATGTCTGTTGTAACTTTGAATGGTTGTTATGTTGTAAATCACAGAGTTCCTGTACCCCCATATCAATAAATGTATTTCCATTATAGATAAATGGACACATACAGTCTAGATTTTTCATTTTTTAAGAATTTAAAATATGGTAATATAATTCTGAAATTATAATGTTTTAAAGTTCAGGTCAACAGTGGTTTAGCTAACATAACCAAATATTTCAGCTCCAAATCAATAAACATTTTTAAAAAGACACAACTATATATAATTACAATTTGCATGGGGGTGGTGGCTGCTGGAAGAAGTTAATAGATTAAATGATTGCAGCTAAATGTTAAGAATAACACTAAGTGCTAAGAATAACTCAAGAAAAACAGATTTGTTTTCACACTCCTTTAGAGAGAAACTGTTTTTTAACAATTTCCTCCTCTTTCTGTAATTTTGTTATTTCTTCCTTCTTTTCATCAGTATGCTAAACATAATTTTTACCATTATATATATTTAAATATACAGTAGATTTTCCCATTTTGTACTGCCATGTGCACCATGTGTATGATGTTAAACTCTTTCAGTCTCTATTTTCTTTTTTTCTAAATTATGTTTGGAATGTATAAGGTGATCAAATCCCTGTGACAAAAAGGAAACATGTATCCAGTTGAATTCTTGCCTAATGCATTCCAGGTCCAGTTTTTGAAGAGCCTGGAATATAGCATCCTGTACAAATCCTTGCAAATATTATGTTATACACCATATTAAATATTTTCCTGAATCAGTAATTTCATTTTTGTTCCTTCTCAATTCTTTTCTATTCAGATTCTAAGGTATAGAATCAAAAAATATTTCCAGTTCAGGAAAAAAACATTGTAAAATCAGTATTTAAATTTCTGCTAAACCATATCTGCAAAAGAATTAGACAAGCAATAGGAATTCCCCTTCACATCTTTGAAGAACTCTTGCATTGAGAAACAAGGGCTGGAATAAAACTCTGTTCACAGAATAGATATTATATATGTGGGTACAGATGTGCTTTTGTTACCAAAACCTAGCTTATCTGAAGCAACCAAATCACTTGAAGATCCAACATAATTGTATTGGAATGCATGTAGGCAATCATATACTATATATCAGACAATCAGTAAAGCTTTGATACTTTACTGAGTGGCCATGAGCAACAGCAAAAACTGTGTGCGTGCATGTGTGTGTGTGTGTGTGTGTGTGTGTGTGTGTGTGTGTGTATGTATGTAGGTGATTTATTTATTTGTATCCCACATTATTTTTACAAATAGCTCTAGGCAGCAAACATATTCAACACCCTACCTAACAGGTGTCAAACTCGAAGTATCACATTGCTATCACATTGTTTTGTGACATTTTCCCATTTGTGGAGCTGGGGTGACGCATCCGGCCTGTGGGCTGCCAGTTTGACAACCCTGCCCTATCTCCTCAACACAACAAGAAGTTGGATTAGGCTGAGAGAAAAAGACTAGCTCAAAATTACTCAGCTGTCTTTCATGGCTAAGGCAGGACTAGAAGTCATGGTCTCACATTTTTTAGCCTGGCGCCTTAACCATTAGACCAAACTGACTCTCTCTTTTTCTACTAGGTCAGCATGGCAGCTGCACTATCTCGGTTAATAGAAACAATTAGGTTTACTGAGTTACAGGTTCCTAACTATGTCTTCTCCCCATCGCCACTTGGGGTCAATTCAGCTTGCTATGAATATTTTCTTATAAGGGCACTTAAGCACTTCATGTGCCTTGGGGGTGGAGAGACTTGGGCTCAGTAGTGAATACACTTTACATTTGTACAGAGGAAGGGGAGATACATGTACTCTGACCACAGTAGCCAACTGCAGAATTATTCAGTTTTAAATTAAAAACTTGGCTCAAATAAGTGACGGCTCTTAAAATTAGTGAGTATTTGTCAGGAAATCTTTGTTGATTTTGTATTTGTAACAATGATCTGGTGGCTTTTGGCAATAAATTATTTTGTATGTCACCATAAGCCACTCTAGGATATTGTCTAAATTAAAACACAATTGCACAAGATATTGGAAAAGTATCTTTAATCCCAATATCAAAGATTGGAAATGTATGACTGATTAATTTGCAAAAAGATTTTATTATTTTTACTTATCAAAAATAATGTTTCCCTTTGGTGTAAAATTCATGTTTTGCAAATGTATAGGTGATCATGGTTTATATCAATTTAATAAACGTAATTATTGAGGTGTTTTATTTCTTGTTTGTCTTTTGGTATTTTAAGTTAATCATTAATGTGTTGGGTGTTTACATATTATCACTTCTAAATTTTGTCTTTGTATATTGTCTTCTCTGTATTTCGGTAGACACACACATAGGGAGAGAGAGAGAAACACACATATATAGTGCATATATACATATGCGCAGCTAAGGACTCAGATAGTAGGTGGAAACATGCAGAACCCTAAGGAATTCTGGGAATTGAAAGTCACACATGTGAAAACTGTCATGTTTGAAAACACTGATATAGAATCACTAGCTATATGAATCAATCTGTTTTTCTCAAAAGCAACTATAATAGAAACTATTTTCCATTGAAACTGAATACCCGGCTGTTATTCAACTGGGTATTAAAATATTATTAAGTACTATGTCAAATCAGTATAAAGCAGGGCAGTCTAACCTGAAACTCCAGTGCTGCATACATTCCCCATAGCTTTGGATATATCCCATCTTCACCTCAATCAAATTTCAACTTTTCAAGTGACAGAAGGAAGACATTTTAAGTAAACATACAAACATTGTATTAGATATATTTAATTGATTTATATTTTATTTTTTATTTCTCCATCTTCATCTCCTGGTTTCTACTAATTGTTGTGGTTCGCCGGCAGCCTATGCAGACAGCAGCAGAATTGGACAGTGGGGAAGAACGGGGACCAGTCAGGGAGTCTGGAGAGGACTTGGACAAGGGCCCTGCGTCCAATGCAGAGATGGGGCCAAGATCATCTGGGTACTGACTCCAGAGCCTCTGAAGTCTGGCAGCAGTGAGGCCGAGGAACAAGGGGAACCTGTTCCCAGTGCGCGTGTGTGCAGAACTGCTAGAAGACAAGAGCAGCTGAGACAAAAGGGGCAACTCGGTTGTAAGGCTTGGAGGTGATTGCCCCTCCCATAAGGTATAAAGGACAGGCAAAGGTGAGGAAACCTTTATAGGAAACGAAGTTGTTTGTTTCATTCAGATTAATCCATGAAGCTCTATGTGGACTTTATACTTTGGTTGTTTTTTTATAATTCATTTGGCACTCTAGTTGTTGGCAGCAATTCAAAGGAGAGAAAGGTGGGTACTTATCTCAAAGGGACTGTTTGGGACTCATTTCCAGCTGGGAATGAAAATAATTCCCAGCATTGAAATAAAACAAGAGTTGTTTTAACTAAGTGTATGCTTAATTATGGTCTTGGGAAGCCTTGGTCAGAACACTAGTCCTGCATTCAAAAAAAACCCTCTTCAGTCCAAACAGAGCGCCAGTTTGGTCCAGACTAGAATGCGGGAGACTGTAAATTCTAGTCCCATTTTAGTTGTGAAAGCCATTTGGGTGATTTTGGACTAGTCCCTCTCTCTCAGCCCAATCCACTTCCCAGGATTCTTGTTGTGGAGGAAATAGTAGCAGGAATATGTGTAGTGGATATCTTGGCTGCCTTGAGTTATTTGTAAAAATAATAAAGCTGGGAAACAAACAAATTTAAAAGGGTTTAGTGAAAAAGAGAGTAGGGTTGTTTGACCATACAAGCAATATTTACCTCTTTGCCTGTGCATCACCAGGACCACCTGTCCATATTTCCCCTTGCCCAGCTCCTTGATGATTTGGTAGTGTTCTGCTACTTCCATGTGCACCAGACTCTGGGCAGTAATCTCCAACATATCTGTGAGACGAGCCTGTGCCTCCATCCCCAAAGTACGATTCATGGTAAAACCCTATGAGAAGTACAAAGAAGTTGGTGACCTTATCTTATTGCAATAGTATGTGAAAAGGACCTCAAGGGATGAGGAATTGAGATAGCAATAGCACTTAGACTTATATACCACTTTATAGTGTTTTACAGCCCCCTCAAAGCGGTTTACAGAGTCACCATATTGCCCCCAACAATTTGGTTTCTCATTTTACTCACCTTGGAAGGATGGAAGGCTGAGTCAACCTTGAGCCTGGTGGGATTCGAACTACCAAATTGTAGTAGGAGTAGCTTGCAGTAATGCACTCTAACCACTGTGCCACTGAGGCTCCGAGATAGTGCCTAGGGAATGATCAGACAAGATAGAAAGGAGGATTCAGTCCCTTAATGGTCAGAGAGGAATTATACCCATCCTAATTCACCAGACAATTAAAGTGACTGTCAGAGATTTGTAAACCAGACAAGAAACATGACTAGATGAGTTAATTGTACCTCATTGCCAGTCTTCATTAACTGTATTTTGTGGGACTGAAATTGTTGTGTCTGCACAGATGCAGACACAGAGCAGCCTGCCGCAAACAGCGCAGGAAGAATACTTCAAAGTTATTGGATGACGGAGTGGCAGGCAGCCGCTATATAAAGGCTGCCCGCCAGCCATTATCTTTCGTTATGGTTACATTGTTGCTGAGCTTACCTCAAATAAACAAGTGTTGCAGATCCTCAGCTCTGGGTGTTTATTCCAATCCCCTGACACAATAGAAATCCCCTGCCATCTCTTTTAACAGTTTTAGTTTGTAATTTTTATTCATGAACTCTGCATGCTCCAATGTGCATCATAATATGAAATAAGAAATCTTTTAATATTCTTTGTAATTATATTTTTCTTTATGCCTTTCTACTTGCATTCAGTCCTACAGAATTACAAAATGGCAAAATGCACAGTTTCCCCTACCATGTTCTGTGTATTAAGAATATTAATGGCACCAAGTGGAACTCGAGTGAAATATGGTCAATTATCACCCATGAGTTTATTTTCCTGAAACCCAAAAAATCTTCCTTTCAAGTCCTCTTTGGCGGGTGTATCCAGATTTTAATTGTTTATTATTGTTGTTTGGTTTTGCTCCCTCTTATTACTTTCTGTCCAAAATTGTATTTACAACTTTATAGATTAGAAAAGAAAAATGGGATTTATTTATTCTGCACTCAGTACTTTAAGAATGAAATCTATCTGGGTCTATTAGCCTTAACATAGATATTGCTCATTTTCATTAAGTTTAGATTCCTTTGGCAATACAAGAGGGAAAGAAAGTTAGTATGCTCTTCCAACTTTCCAGCATATTGCAGTGAAACATCTGCTTTTACCGGTATGTAATCTTACTTCAGAAGAGGCAATAAAAAGGGTCATACTACAGCTACAGAGGCCCCTGGGAAACCTGGCTTATAACCTTTCTTGCCTTTTCCCCAGTTTCCTGAGAAACCAAAAAAGGAGATACCTTTTTCTGTATTATCATTGTACGTGTACAGGCTATTTACTACAGATAACAATATCAGAGAAAAAAAACCCTTACAATCGACAAACATGCTCAGTTCTCCTTAACTTGATCTCTTCCTCTTATTTTGAAAGATTTAAAATTTGGTAAACTTGAGTTCTAAATTTGCAAAGAGAGAAGGAAGGTGACCTCCAAGGTCCCTTCCAACTTCTTTCCTATTCTCTCTCCAGATTGCCACTTTTTCCATGTGAATGTGACCTTCCTATTTAAGAGGTAATTTTTCACTATGAAGTTATTCAATACATATAGGACTGGGTGAATCAGTGCATAAATTGAATTAAGTTAGCCAGTCTACTGTACTCAGTTGGTGAGCTTTTACTGTGAAGCTTAAAGTCTTTTGGTTGTTTTTCTAGTCCAAACCAACGCAGCAACAATAATAATGGAAATGCATTGGCAGTGTGTTTAGAGGTGACTTTGATTTCCTTGAAAGTTTTTGTCCTACAATCTCTATGTGCCAATCATGGGGAGCTTGATATGCAGGTAGCTGTTTTCATGCATCTCTATATGAACAAAACTACAATCCTTCATTCGTATCTTCTTAGAGCACCATATCCCATGGGTGGTCTCTCTCTCCCCTCGTCCCCATTTCACACAGGCAAACCTCATTCCAAATTTAGCAATGCAGAATTTAGCAGGTTCATTAAGTATATCACTTTTCCCAACTAATGCCATTTGCAGAATTTTGCCCTAGTTGCAGAACTATGAAATCTTGGAATGAAGAGTGGAAAATATTTCAGGGTAGGCCTTTTTTAGGCACTCTCTTTTTTAGGCACTCTCTTACTCCTCTCCAATTCTGGGGTAGCAAAATCATTGCAAACTGGACCAAAAACATGTTCTTTATTGTATTTCTGTGATCCACTGATTACTTGTAACCTCCTTACTTAACTGATACCAGTATGCCTGGCTTCTGATTTCATGCCAAGTGTCCTATCCTACATGTTACAGGGTTATGGGAATGTGAGGCTTAAGTGATACACTCCTAAACACTTTAGAAAATCATATTTAAACTTTTTTACTTATCCCTGAATATTTTTAGATTTTTTTTGAAAGGGACAATGTTGTAGAAATAACTCTCCTCATAATAGGATATATGTTATTGTTGTTCTTGCTGTTCTTATGACACACTCCTTATTTGTGAGTTCCGACTGGTAAATATCACAAATAAATGTCACAATATAAATGTCAAAACTTACAACACTTTTACAGCTAGTTATGAATGTCTCTTGTTCCATTAAATACTTGGAAATGGTGGTACCTCCAATTTCCAGAGATAATGGCAAACAGAAGTTAGCTCCATAAAAAATTGAGCCAATAACCCCAGTCTAATGAAGAATTGGTGAGTACAGTGGCTCTTTGTAATTCTTCTTCAGACAAAGTAGACTTGAGATTATCCACAAGTGCTCCAGATAGTTGCTCCTCCCAAGGAGATTGTAAGATGTTGGTCTTTGCAAGATTTAGAGCTCTGGGAGATGAGGGTTCTTTCTCAACCGTCTTTGGCACCTTTAAACGGATACTGGGTTCTCATAGTTCCTTTTCATCACTTTTGGAAAATGCTTGTTAACTGCTTTTCATCTATTAAAAATAAAAATGCTTTCCATGTGAAAATGCATTTTTCTTATTTTTTTAAATAATTGTGTACATAAGATAATTGGACACTAAAACAAATTAGAAGGAACTAAAGATTAAAATCAAAAGAGAAGAACACATTTAATTTATAGATACAGAATGAAGCAAAATTTAACATTGGACATATTGAAGGTTATTTTTGAATGATGAAACCAGAATTTAACTTTTGTTAAGTCTTAATTTTTAGTGACTGCTACAGATGAATTGTATTTAAACAATGTTATGAAAGAAGAATTTTACCTGATTAAGTTGAGACTGATCTGAAAGTAAATTTAAAAATGATAGGCTATAATAATGACTTAGAAAAAGATGTCACACTGGATACTGAAACCAATTGATATTTAGTGTTTACAACAGATATACAATTAACAAACCAAGAGAGCAATCTGGATAATTTGTTTATATTGCATTTACAAAAGAGACTTGTTAAAGCTTTGAATAATTTTGTGAAAATGGACAACAAATTAAAATGAAGTTAATTTATTTGTATGCAACTAAAATAAATATGTTGATATCTCTGGTAACAATGGACTTTTTGCTTAAATGTTTTTTCAGCAGAACATTTGAGAGTTATCCACTTATGCTGAACTTTTAGAAGAAAGCTAGATGTGAAATTTGCTGTTCCCTGGTCACAATAAAGGTATCTATTTTATAGATCTATTTTCTAGCAAACAATTTTTTTCTAAATTTCTAATTCTGAGTTTAAGGTACTGAGCTCTAGGGTGAACAATCTGTGATCACACATATATGCAAAAGAAGTGTGCATTTCACATATATGAACTTGACATAAAAATTGATCTTTGTGCAACATTCAGAGAAGACAAATATACTGTACATGTCTTTGCAGTGAAGGAACTGATACAAATTGAAGCAATGTTGGGAAATGAAATTGCCAAGTAAGATGCACCACAGATTCAGATGAGGCCATCCATTCAAAAGTGAAGAGTGAATTTGTAGGGTGAATTTGTCTGCATAGAATTGGAAGTCTTACACAATTCTTAATTTGGTCTTTATTTAAGCAAAATGAAAAAAGTCAGTAAGAAGGGGCCAAATATACATTCCTTTTTAAAATGGTATTTCAAAAGGGACAGGCTTGGTTAGGGCAGAAATGAACAACCTGAAGTCTTTTAGACTTGTGTGGAGTTGTTATGGATTCAGTTGCAGTGCATTGCCATTTTTAATGTGACAGAAGAAGAACATTATTAAATATTTCTAAATTATTCAACATGGGTGGATTTAAAATGATTAAAGTTGTTGGTAATTAAATTAGCTATTTAATAAATTCATTTATATTTTAGTGTAAATGAAATTGCATTTTGAGTTCATCTTTTTTTGCTTCTGAGTCCACCTAAATTATGCACTGTTGCTCTAGAACCTCTGTATCTTTGCACCATTCTATCTCAAGCCAAAGAAAAGGAAAATAACACCTCTGAAACTGCAAAAGAAAAAAAAAATCCTACTGTTCCATTTTTCTAGTAGTTTCTATCTTTTTATTTTATTTCATTTTGTTTTTTCCTAGAAGGCTTAAAAACATGCATCTTTGGGTTAAAGGTTGACAAATTAACACTGAATGAGGGATAAATAAGAGTTACAGGTTATACTTTGTTTTACCCTTCAGTACTTGAAAATCCTTGAAGTGAGATTCTAGTCCGTACTATTTGTGAATGTTTATGCGACTTGTTCATCTTTTGCATCTACTTTTTTCTATGTTTTTTTAAATGAACCAGCTTATATCTGGCCCATGAAAATAAACATAAACATTTTTGTAATGTATAGATGATTGATAAGGTGAATGAAAAAAATGTAATGCAGAATCTGACAAAAAAAATAAAAAGTAGATTAGATAGATAGATAGATAGATAGATAGATAGATATCTGTGTTATATAGTAATTAGGGTGATGGTATCAAGATAGATTGAAGGTGGCTGGCTCAAATTAATAATCAGAGGGGACAATTTTAAATTAAACTAAGGATTGATAAAATTGCAAATATGACAGATAAAGGTAATTTGGGAAATGAATATAGAAATGAGATGGGAATTTTAAATAATGTTGTAAAATAAGATATGAGA